CGACAAAGTCTGTAACATCCCATGATTCACAAGGTCTCTAGGTGCTAGGCAGCTCACATTTTCAGCAAAACCCTACACACAGGAACCCTCTAAATCCAAACTGCCCGGCCAAGTAACCTGTGTCTTCTCCCACTGACAAGACTGCTTTGTCACTCCTGCTCTACAAAAAGACAGAATATCGGCATACCAGTGTCCTGCTACTAAGATATAGACCTATACTGCAGTCTCAGCAGTACTTTGACTGTAGCATGCTTGTCTGTGGAACCATGGGAGAAGAAAAAGCTGTGACTTCTCTTTACCTGTTGCCTTTAGCCTTGTGGGTTTTATATTTCCCCAATAAAGCCTATTCCTTAACCTATACCATGTGATATTAAAAAAAAAATTCACCCAAACACCGAGGTAAGTCAGGTTACAATCTAAATAAGACCTGTTCCTACTCCGTAAAAGATCGAAACTCAGAAGAGATCAACCTTGCAGGACAGTGGTGACCATGAAGGGTCTAACTTGAACATGATGTGTATTTTTATTTTTCTTTTTCCACAAATGGGATTATACACTATATTATGCTTTGTAAACTACTTTTTTACAATCTGATGTTGTCATAGATACATCAAAGGTTTTTTATGCTACATAGCTTTTCTTTGAAAGTCAAACTCTGACTCTACCATTTACTATTTTTTAACATTGGGGAAGTTACTTAACCTCTCTATGAAAGTTACTAATGCAGCATCTCAAACACAGTATGTGCTGAATCAAATTTAGCCTTCCCCCACCCCAAGGCATTTTAAAAGACTGGGATATTTACTGCTAATAAAAAAAAGTCATTTAAATAAGAAATATATTTTAAACTTTAAATTTAGACTTCTCACAATATTCTTTCTCAAATGTCACTGGGGTAAATATTTTTCCTAACTACAAATAAAAATCTGTACTTTAAAGGTTAAAATTATAGCAGTATTATAATTTTTTGGATATACATACATGTTATAGTTATAGATGGCCTAAACCCAGTAAGAGTTGGCAGAGAATTTAAAAAGAGAAGAAAGACAAAATGAGGATAAGCTCTAAGCAAGAAATACAGCTACCCTGTCAAATTTATACTTTTAAGTAAAAAGTTCAAATAATGTGGCCATTCTTGTAAAGAAATGTATATAGGCAATACCAGTATTTAAATGCAGATTCTGAATATTTTTCAAGCAAATAAAAGCACTCACCAGGAGAATACTTATAATAAAAGGGTTGCTAGTAGATAGTATAATGAAAGCAGAAAATAATATTGAATATTTGCAGTTGGATTTTAGGTATAGTTATTTTTTCTGTTTTCTCTTTACCTTTTCTAGTTCTTCTTCCACTGCTTTTTTCTCCCTAATGGCTTGATCAATTTGGTCTTGTTTTTCAGCACACTCCTATAAATTCAAATCATATTGTAAATAAATATATCTGTAAAACCTTAAGAAAAATGAGGAAAAATGGAAAAGTAAAATGATTTGTTTATAACAGGAATACCACACTTTATACACATTGCATACAGCAGGACCATATCGATTATATATATTAAAAAAAAAAAAAAGCCCTCAACCTTTAAAGAGCTACCTATCAGGATTTCAGAAATCACCTCCAGGACAGAATGTCAAGGAGTTCTAATTGAACATATTAGGTAGATAATAGAGGCTGAGGGATTCCAGGGGAAAAAATTAATAAATGAGACCCCCTTCTCGTATCACAGTGTTCTTTTTCATATTCTCTTATCACATATTTTAAAAGACAACAGAACAGGTCAGTGGCATACCACCATAGGATAACCTATGGCCTAAAAGGCGTATGGGTATATAAATTCTAGAATAGTTAATTTTCTGTTGCAAAACTTATAAACAGCCAATGGACATAAAACATTTCTGGCTCAAAAGGGCTTTATCAGTAAAATCAAGCAAGCATATTAGTTAGTCAATAAAATGCAAAATTTGCAAATGAGACCAAAACTAAAAACAATAATCATAATGAGTAGTTCTTCACAGTTGTTATTTGCTATTTATTTTTGAGAATGGATGTGGTTATTTTCTACTGATTGTAAATTATGCTTTAGATGAATCTGCTTTGCTAACAGTATATTGCCAATTAATATTCAATTATTTTTATCATAACTTTATTTTACAGAAGTACGATGTATCAATGTTTTTAAAATTTAAAATAAATTTCTAAATTGTGACCAAAAATTAACTCTGATTATAATGAAGATCTTTAGCCCTATGTTATAAATTAGATGGTTAATCTAAGTTTATCTTTTATTAAGATAGAACTGTCAGTGTATAAGAAATGCAACTTTAATGTTCCATGTATTCATATAAACCATTAATCTATGAAAAGGCACTTTATGGTATGAAATTTGGGATTTCTCTTATATTCATAAGTCATTTTGTGTGATTTTCTTCTTAACAGACTATTTTTAGAATAGTTTTACATTCACAGCAACATTGAGGGGAAGTCTCAGATTTCCCCTGTATTTCCAGCCCCTGTACATGCATAGCCTCCCCCATTATCCACATTCTGCTATGTAGTGGTATATTTGTTAAAACTGATGTAAGTACATCTCACAATATTATCACCTAGAGTCCAGAGTTTACATTAGAGTTCATTCTTGGTGTTGTACACTTTATGGGTCTGGAGAAATTTATTATGACAGAACAGTTTCATGGTCCTAAAAATCCTGTGTTTTGCCTATGCCCCTATTCATCTCTCTTTCCTCCTCAACCTCTTTTCGTAATTCTGAAAAAGGCTGCTATAAACATCCATCAGCAGGTTTTCACGTGAACGTAAGTTTCAACTCCTTTGGCTAAATACAAAAGACTGCAGCTGTTGGATCCTATGGTATATTTAGTTTTCTAAGAAACCACCAAACTGCTTTCAAAGGTGTCTGTATCATTTTGCATTCCCATTAGGACCGACTGAGAGTTCTACTGCTCCATTTCTGTCAGCATTTGATGGTGTCAGTGTTCCAGATTCTGGCCATTCTAGTAAGTGTATCTGGTACTTACTTGGTGTAATGAGTGGTATCTCATTATAGCTTGATTTTATTTTTTAATTTATAAAAGGTTTTAAAGTTTTTAATTTTTTATTTATTTTACTGAAGTATAGTTGATTTACAATCATTATTGTTTTAATTTGCATTTTGACATACGATTTTTCATATGCTTATTTGTCATCTGTAAACCTTCTTTGGTGAGGTGACTATTAAGGTCTTTGGCCAATTTTTTAATCAAGTTGTTTGTTTTCTTACTGTTGACTTTTAAGAGTTCTTTGAATTATTTTGGATAACAGCCCTTTATCATATATGCCTTTTGTAAATATTTTCTCCCAATCCATGATTTGAATTTTCATTTTCTTGATAGTGTCTTTCACAGAGAAGATTTTAATTTCAATGAAGTCCAACTTACCAGCTGTTTCTTTCATGGATCATAGCTTTGGTGTTGTATCTAAAAACTCATTGCCAAACCCAAGATTATCTAGATTTTCTCCTATGCTATCTTAGAGGAGTTTTACAGTTTTGTGTTTTGCATTTTTGTCAGTGAACCATTTTGGATTAATTTTTGTGTAAGGTCTGTATCTAGATTCATTATTCTACATGTGGATGTCTAATTGTTCTAGTACCATTTGTTTAAAAGACTATCTTTGCTCCATTGTATTGCCTTTGCTTCTTTGTAAAAGATCAGCTGACTGTATTTATGTGAGTTTATTTCTGGGTTCTATATTCTGTTCCTTTGATCTATTTGTCTATTCTTTCACCAATATCACTTTGTCTTCACTACTGAAGGTTTAGAGTAACTCTTGAAGTCTGCTACAGTGTCAATCCTCTGACTTTGTTCCTCTTCTTCAACATTGTGTTGGCTATTCTGGGTCTTTGGCCTCTCCATAGAAACTTTAGAATCAGATTGCCAAAATACACAATATAACTTGCAGTGATTTTGACTGGAATTGTAAAAAATCTATACATCAAGTTGGGAAGAAATGACATATGGAAAATATTGTGTCTTCCTGTCCATGAACATGTACTTCATTTATTTTTTCAGTTCTTCTCTGATATCTTTCAGTAGAGTTTTGTAGTTTTCCTCATATAGATTTTATATATTTGGTTATATTTACACCTATTTAATTTTGGGGGTGCTAATGTAATAGTATTAGGTTTTTATTTCAAATTCCACTTGTTCATTGCTGGTATATAGGAAAGCAATTGACCTGTATATTAATCTTTTATCCTACAACCTTGCTATAATCACTTCTTTGTTCCAAGTTTCTCCTTTATTCTTTTGGATTTTTTACATGGACAACAATGTCATCTGCAAAGTATACCTTTTATTTCCTTTTGAGGGTGGCAAACTGCATTAACTAGTACTTCCAGTATGATGCTGAAAAGTAGTAGTGAGAGGGGACATCCTTGCCTTGTTCCTGATCTTAGTGCGAAAGTTTTCAGTTTCATAACTGTAGGTTTTTTGTAGCTATTCTTTATCAAATTGAGGAAGTTCCCTTTTGTTCCTAGTATACTGAGAGTTCTTATCATAAATGGGTGCTGGATTCAGTCAAATGCTTTTTCTGCATTTATTTATATGATTCTCAAAGGATTTTTAATGCAGATATTAATTACAAGGCAGGATCACATTTCTGGTCTGTGAGTAGCATATAAAAGAAAGGTATTTTATAAATTATGTTATGCATCCCTTTTTACCCAGTCCACCATTTAACTGCCAAATGATGATGGCTGAATATTTGTTTAACCCAAGATAATGAAGTTAAAATGAGACAGAAAAGATGAAATCTTTATGGAGAGATATAAAAATTCTATTAGAAAGGCACTAAATAGTAAAGCTAACATTTAAAATGACTATTAAAAGGCTTTCACGGATATTTGCTATTAATCACCACCAGTATTCCTACCTTTTGGGCAGATACGACCAAATGCTACTAGACATTTTTTTAAGTACTCTTGGAGTATTTCCAAAATCATACCTCCATAGTGTATCACAAAGGAAGTCTCAACAAATATTAAGAATAAATATCATATAGACTGTGGCCTCTACTTAACCAGATTATAAATCAGTAATTAAAAGATGTCCACATATCCTTGTATTTAGAAATTTAACATTAGACTTTCAAAAAATTCATGGATCAAAAAAAGATAATAATGAATTTTAAGATAAAAAATTTACTTGCAAAAATTTGGGCATTTATAACCAATCTTCTTCCGCATTTGCTACAGGTTAACAGAAATCTCAGCTACTTGGCAGAATTAAAACTTTAAGTATTCTTAAGAGAAACTATACCTGTGTATGTTGCTCTCCTAAGGGAGAAATATGGTTTGAGATAGACTGGCTCTGGCCTTTTCTTAAAACTACCAAAAAATATGTACATTAAACTAAAATACAAGTTTTTCTCCTTCCTGCAAGCATAACTTAGTTTGGGGTTAAAATACACTTAACTTCCCTCCCTGACTTCATCTTTTTAGCACAGGTGGTAAAACTGGCACTGCAGAATAGAAATCAATAATTGATGTCAGGTTATTATGCCTCAAACTGTAATCTGAGTTTCCTGAGAAAATCTGCTTTTTAAAGTAGTTGAACATGTCTTCCTTCAAACATATTTCTAAATGTCTAATATTTCAAAGACTTCAATTAGTACAGTTTTCCTCACTGAACCAACATGACATCAGATAATATTTAGTATCTTTAGAAAAATCCACTTAGCTATGAGTTACAATTGTTTTACTATAAATCCTAAGAAGCACCTTTTGTAATAATATGATATTAAAAAAAATTTGTTTTACACTAAAGTAAGTTTATATAGCTCTGGTTGCTACACAGTTATGAGTTATTTTTTAAATCCTTGCAGGTTCCATCTAGTACACATTCCTAAATAGAAATAATGTTCTTGTCCTTCCAAAGTTAAGAATCTATTAAAAAATCCTAGACTGGGATAAAACCCTTCTTCAAAGTTGTGAATCTTTTTCGAGTTACTGGGGGGATTGAACCCAGGACCTCGTGCATGCTAAGCACGCACTCCACCACTAAGCTACATCCCTCCCCTCAAAGCCATGAATCTTTTGATAGCTAATCAGTCCATGTAGGAGAACAAGCAAAACAGCAAGGTGACAGAAGAGGAAGTAAAACTGAAACACAACAGAGAACTAGACATGAATAATCCGCCATACTACATCCTATTAATTTTACTTAATGTTCCTTTATTGTTAAAACAAATGACAGTAAACAAAAAGTAACATTGTTTCTTGTTCTATTACTTTCAGGACCTATACACAGTGACGAAGGTCCCATTGTGTATACCAGATTTCCACATTCACAGTTTGCAGAATGTGAAAAAGATGTGATCTTTCTGTCAGAGGTGTTTAAATATCACTCAATAAATATTTATTGAAAACATATTGCACAAAATACTGTACTAGGCAAGGGGGAAAATAAAGGAACACATGACATTTCTACTTTGAAGTGCTTACAATCTAATTGGAAAGATAAGATTTTCATGAAGAGAGGGAGAAGGAGGCAGAGAGAGGAAAGATGAGGAGACAGAAAGAGAGGACTTGTGTAATATTTATTACAAAACATAATTCATTGCTAAATTTTATAAGAAAGATTAAAAGTGACAGAGATTCAGAAAAGATGAGAGTTTGTGAAGTTGAAAATATCTTCCCAATCTCTGGAAATTCATGTACTTTTTTATGCCCTTAGCAAGATTATTAAATTCCATTTCATCAAACCTTCAAGTTAAATTTATGTATTTACTCACACACCTCTAGTCACTCAAGTACTCTTTCTTCTCCTCCTTACCTACTCATCCTTCAGAACTCATTTCTTTTGGGAAGACTGTCTGTCGTCCTTCCTGCTGTCATGTATACTTTTCCTTTCTCCCTGGTCTCCCAGGTGAACCCAGCATATGGTAGCAGTTGTAGCTGGATGCTTCAATAGTAATCTGCACATTCTTTGTCCAAAAAAGGTAACCATAGTAAAAGGTGATAAATGCATCCATCTTTCCTACTAGATCGTAAGTTCAAGATGACAGACCAGGGGGGAGGGTATAGCTCAAGTGGTAAAGCACATGTATAGCATGCACAAGGTCCTGGGTTCAATCCACAGTACCTCCACTGAAAAAAAACGTATAAATAAACCTAATTACCTTCCACTTGCATGCGCGCGCACACACACAGAGAGACTACAGATGATATTTATTCTTTTCCTAGCATCTAGCATAGTTTCTGGCTTAATAAGTATCTTCTGAATAAATGAATGCCTGAAAATATGTATCCTGACCTTTAAAATAAGCAATATTCAGAAGAAAGTATCAATATAGTCTTCTAACATACCATTTGACGGGCTGAAAGTTCTTCTGTTAGTCGAGAAATCTGTACAGAATATTGTTTTCTTACGTTTATAACCTGTAAATTAAGATATTTATTAGGTCTACCATAGAATAATTAATATCTAATAAAACACTTATGATAGTGATTTTGATAAAAAAGTATAACTTTTAGGATATAATAGATAAGCATATGCTATATTAAAAAGTCAAGAATTTATCATGACAGTGGAAATAAGTGAATAGGATGCTACATTCTAAAGGACAACGGTTGTCAAACTTTTTGGTCTTACAATCTTTTTACACTATAAAACAGATTTTTGTCTTTATAATGGATTCTCTTTCTATTAAAATTTACCATATTAGAAATAAAAACTAATTTGACACAACATTGTAAAATAACTCAATAAAAATGTTTAAAAAAAAGAAAATCAGAGTTCTCATACCATGAGTAGTTTGATAAAACATTTTTATCATTAAAAGCCACAAAATGTATTAATCTATTTTAAATATGTGTCATTAACAATATTTTAAACTACCGTCAAAGTTACAGTAGTCTCAATGCCAAGAATAGGACAGGATTCCTACAGAAAGGATATACAAGATTAGGAATTAAAAAAACCCAGGCTTTAGTTTGGATTCTGTCTCAAATTATAAATTTTATCTTGGGAAATTACCTAATTCCAGCCAGACAATGACAAAGTAATAGATTTCTAAAAAATAGTTTTGTGGCAAGAAACCTTATACAGTGACTTCGCTGGAGTGAAAACTCTACCACTTAGTTGCTTGGGAGAAAAGCAAGCATGTTAGTTCTATTTTTTTTTTTAACTGATGAGGTTTTAAAAACCAGTTCACTTCAGTCTACCTAGGAGAGAAAAATAATATTGCCCACACAAGAAAAAGCATAGGTAAGAAAAAAACTAACATCTTTGTTCTCTCCAGTGGAGGAACATACAGTGTACCTACCTATCCTGTAAGAGCTCATCTTAAAATAAAGAGTATTAGTTTTTTAATCATCTGTTAATTTCGTAGATAGCCTTTACAAATATGTAGGAGAGCATTTTAATGTAATTATTACTGTAAAAATGAAAACAGTAATTTCTGCTTTTGCTAATTCATGTCTCTGACAAAAATGTCAAATTAAAAAAAACCAAGGCTTTCTCAAAAAGTGGCTGGATGATTCCTGGTCTGAGGCAGGGAAAGTACAAGATGAGAGAGAGCCCTTATTTATGCAAGAAAGCTAGAGACAATTTGAGAATAAAAAAGACTGATGGTAATGGCTCATGAAATAAAAAAAATAAGAAAGATCCATGAATCCACAGTGACATTAAAAAAAGGGGGGAGGACTCTCCTTTACCAAAAAAATTGACAGCTAATAAATGTATAGAAAGGCTGACAGAATTAGAATGTAATTGTTTTTAATTATCCCATAAAACATTTATTTCAGGCAAGAATTATCAATGGATGCTAAAACCACTGGATGAAAGATTTTGGTGGAAAAGGATACCTACATGGCATCTTCCCCAGCTGTTTATAAAGTATAAAATGGAGACATCTAGTCTTATCACCCTAATAATGTGGTCAAGTTTAGCATCACCAATACACAACCTGACACTAAAGCTTCCTAACGAAATGAAGTGGGAGGTAGGTATACACATTGCTCTGCCAGAAATGACCTAAATCTAGTCAAGATGAAACAGTCATGTGAATCCCAGATGTGGAATATTCTAAAGGACAACTGGCCTGGATTCCACAAAGGATTCTTTGTCATATACAAAGGAAGGCAGGGGACTGGTTAAATCAAGGAAGACTACAGAGATACAGCAGTCAAGTGCAATGATGTATAAATATGGACTGGAGTCTGAATTTAAAAAGACAAACACCCATAAAGAATATTTTAGGGAAATCTAAGTGTAGACTGAAATAATACGGATGTTCTTTTAATGTATGGTAATAGTGGTGTGGTTGTGTAGCAAAATGCTCTCTTTCTGGGGAAACAGATGCTAAGATGAAGAGTCATGAGACCTCTGGCTTATGTGTGAATATTTCGCAAAAAGGAAGAATGTGTATGTATGTAAAGAGAGGTAGAATGGGTGTGGCAAGATACTAAGAGTTTTCTGGGTAAGAGGTAAATAAGTGTTCATTGTGCAGCTCTTTCAAACTTTTTATGGGTTTGAAAATTCCTAAAAATAAAAAAAATACAAAATGAATGGTAAACAATTTCTCACAGTGATTGAGAGTAGAGCTCAAGAATCAAGAACTGCATTTGTGACCCAGTTCTGCTACTTCCTGGAGGTGGAATCTTAAGCAAGTTAGTTAGCTACTCTATTTTTCAGTTTCTCATCTTTAAAATATTTTTTTGTGGTTTCTTCCTCCTAAAGTCACTTTACACTTTCAAACTTTATCACACTGCTTACGAATTAATTCATATCTGTACCAGAGGAAAAGGCAAATAAATGTATGTCTTCTTTGTCTTTCTATATGAAAGCAAACTTGTATTTCCAAGATAGTTTTAACTTTCATAAGGCTCACAATTCTAACCAAGAACCAAATCATTGCTTTAACACAAAAATATAAGATTTAGTCTTGATAATGGAATTGCAAACACCACCACAATTCATAAGTTGTACAAGTATCAGCATGATATGACTGAAACAACGCTGGGCTCAGTATAGCCAAGAGAAGGCATGAGTCTAAGTTCTGGCTTTAATTAGTATATAATTTTGAGCGAGTCAATAACCTCTCACAGGTTTCAGTCTCATTACCAATAAAATAAGAGGTTAAAGCAGATTTCTCTGGTACTCTGGTCCCAAGACTCTAAGATACTGCAAACAACAGTAGGTTTTCTTCTCTTACTTCTCATGAATTCTAAGTTTCTTTTTGAGCTTTCTTTTTAACTTTGTGTTTCAGGTATGTTAATCTGCACTGTATCCCTAGCCTAAATCTCTCTCCTTCCCACTTCCCCTATCCATTCCCTCTGCCTCACTCTAGCTCAAATGTTAGGAGCTACCATCTTGAAATGATTTTTATTGGAAATTTACTACAATTGATGCAATTAGCTGATAATTAATTAGCTAGGTCGATCAGGCAAAACCTCAGGTAGTATTTAGTCTTAAGCTGTGAAATTTTGTAAAATTTTGGATTTTAAATATAATGAAAAATCCTTTACTTCCTTCCTGGTTCTTACGGAGGCATCTTGCAGAAGTCGGGAAATGGTTTCTTTCATTTTCTCTATATCTTCTTCTTTTTGCTTTTCCTCAAGCAGAGCCTTCAGAAAATAATAATTTGATGTTATTATAGACTGCATCATTATTAATAAAGATAACATAATAAATGGGTAAAAACTTATCCACTAATCACTTTCTTGAAAGCATGTATCTTATTCAAAACTTCTGAGACATCTCCACTTGGAGATCTTGCCTAAGTTATGAATGACATTTATTTTCCCTAAACTCCTCACCTGACCATGTCTTAACTAAAAATTTATTCTTTTCCTTTGACGTTTCAAGCATTTCCATGACTCTTCTGACCTCTACAGCTGGATATTTAGAATTATTTTTGAATTTTCTCTCTCTTTTATTCCCTATACAAAATAAGTAATCAAAGTTTAAATATTATATTATCAGAAAAACATTTTCGACTTCCCTTTCTTTCCATTATTTATTTTTATTCAAATTATGTCCCTTGTCGCTTCATACCTCCTTTACTGTAGTCACTACCTACTTCATCTCTATGACATTTCTAACTATCCAATCATTTTCATTTACAAAATATTTCACCTACAAAATAGTCTTACAATTCTAGTTCTGTTCTTAGTCACACTCCATTTCTTTGCTTCCCTGTGGAGCAAACTCCTCTGAAGTCTGCACTTGCTTATCTCTAAAACTCTCATGTTCACTCCAATAAAGCTTTCACCACCGACGATCTCTATACTGATAACCCATTAGCCAATTTTGAGTAACTGTCTTATACATCTGTCAGCAGCACTTGAGATAATGGATTATTTTCGTTTCTGTTTTACTTTTTTTATTTGGCTTTTAGCGCATCACAGTATTGGTTCTCCTCTTAACTCACTGATTATTTCTTTTTAGTGTGCGTTGCTGTTTCTTCCTCTTCTCCTGAACCTCTTTAATACTTAACTACCCAAGACTTAGTCCTTGGTTCTTTTCTCTATCTACATCCATCCCTTGGTAGGTAATCCAATCTCATGGTTTTAAAATATCATTTATATGCTGACAATTCCCAAATTTAAATCTCTAGTCCAAGTATCTTCCTGAGCCTGGAATTCCTCCAATTTTAGTCTTGAGTGAATTTTTTTTTTAAAATATCATTACAAGGTAAGTGGCTCTTTGTTTTGACCCCACTGTCTTCCAAAGATATCATACATGTTCCTATCTTTGCTTTTTATTGTTTAATAAATCTTCTCCTGCTTAAATAGGTAAACTAGTGAGAATTAATTGCTCTTTTGATGTCACAACCTTTTCAGGGAGAACAGGACAATGGGGAAAAGGGAAGCTTCATAAGGAAACTATACTAAGGTTGCTTCATGCCTATTTGTATGATTGGCTGAAAGAACCCTTGACTTCTTGGAACAAACAACTGAAGGTGGGAACCCTCTGGCAATTAAGCAACAAGTCAAGAGGGAACTTAATACCGTGGCCATAAATAGCCTCTGTAAAGGTCTGTTGACCTACGACTTGGGTGAGAAGATCTGCGGGATAGGCAGTGAGTGTCACTACTACCTTCTCTGTCCATCGTGCTACACACAAAATGTTCACCTTTGTGACCTGATGTTAAGAATGTTCATATGACTAGGCTTCAGGGGGAAGAGATAAACAGTTTTGCCCTGCTCTTAATTTTTCTAATTAACTTAGCTGTTTAGAGCAACTCCCAAGAACATTTTGTCTCTTTTGCACCTTTCAACCATTCTAAAGCAACAGTATTCAGATCACAGGTGGGAATGTTAGCTGAAAGGTGTAATAAGTACCAAAACATTCCCACAGCTTAGATTTGGATAATTATTTCTTTTTTACGTCTTAGTAGCTTCTTAATATGCAACTTATAGCTTATTTTGTTTTTAACAGTGCTCTTGGAAAACTGTCCACTATGTGAAAAAGGAAGCATAAATAAAACAAAATATTTCCTTGTATTCCCCATACTTCCCAGTGGAGTGCTATGCATATACTAGGTATTCAATAAATGTTGGTTAAATGAAATAATAATTTAATGAGAGGCAGCAACATTAAAAACAAATTATCTACTTTGTGACTTCTATAAACTATATACCATTCATATGGAAGTGGTACAAGATGAAAACTATGGTATGTAATAGCACAGTAATCACAATATTTAGAGGGTTAAAAAATACCGCATGGTGACATGAAGGCTCCAGTTAATAAATCTTTATGGCTAAATTTAATTCCCATCAATTAAGCTTCTATTCTATTAGAGTAATTGTATAGGTGACAAAGCGGAAATAAAGATGAGTAAGATTCATGCAAGTGAATAAAATATATAGAGTACACATGCTGCAGTAAAGTACTTTAACAGATTTTTTGAAAAGTATGAGACTACAGGGGATGAAGATTAGTTACATAAGAACTGCAGACATTAAAAAAACTCTAATATGAAAGTTTTCAGAGAAGGTTGACATTTTATCATATTTTATGATGTTAAGTCTTAACATCAAGAGTGTAGCATGTCTATTAATGATGAGTATAGCACTTTCATTTTTCTGTGTTTATTCTGTAGTTATTGATTTCCTTACTTTTAGGTCACACGGGGGAATGTTAAATATTTTTTTACCTATTTTACTTATTTATAAACATGTTTATTACTTTTCTTACCTGATTTTTTTGAAGGTTAACTTCTTCTAAGAGTTGCATGCTATTTCTGGCTCTCACAATAGCTTCGTATTTCTCATCTTCTAATTCATTGCACTTTGCTTGTAACTCTGTGGTCTGTTTTTCCAAATGTGTTTTTTCTGCTCTTAATTGGGTAGCTTCTTGGATTGTCACACATAACCTAAAAATTAATAGTCACATCGCAAAAGTTAAATATTTTTAAAAAGAAGGAGGGAGACAAGAGATTTACAGAGCATCTGTTACAGGACAAGCATTATTCCAGTTACTTTCACATGTATCTTCTCATTGGATCCACTCAAAAGTTCTGTAAAGTAAGTTTCATTATTTCCATTTAAAAGAACGACAGACCCAGAGAGCTTAAACATTTGATTAAGGTCATATGAATAATGAGCAGTGGGACAAAGACTAGGCCTAGGTATTCTGACTCTAATTATGTTACATTTTCTACACTTTTCTACTTGTGTTAACTCCTACTGTCTCATATAGTTACATGACAATGTTATAAAGCAAATTCTTAAAGAATAGTTGTTCTATCTATATGGTCTATTTTTTTCTTTGCTTGATTCCCCTTTCCTACTCTCTACCCAAGTAACTCATGTTAACTTACTAATGTATATCTTTGAATATTTTTCTCCATGTTCATAAAATCACACATCTCATTTTATACCGACACAGTATACATTTAAATATACATACACAGTATATATACATCTATCCACTGGTTTTTAAACATAATATTTTATGTTATAAAAATTAAGATCATAGTATACACCCTTTTCTGCATTTGATTTTCTTACTCAATAATATCTTACAAAAATCCCCTTAAACAATACATCCCAAACCTCTTTCCCTTCCTAGTCTGATGGATGTAACTTCTCTTCACTGTTAAATACTGGAGAATTTAAGCCTATTTTAAAAGTTTGTTTGCTATGTGAATTGTCTTCTTTGAATTTTCTCTTCATAGCCTTTGCCCATTTTTTCTGATGGCTTATTTACTTTGCTTTTCTTTATAAGAACTTTTTGAATATTAAGATACTAACCCTCAGTCTTCTATATGGCAAATATTTTTCCCAAATCTACCTTTTTGTTGTTGCCTATTGACTCTATTTAGGATATCTTTATTACACTAAAATGTTCCCTTTAACAAAGCTAGATTTGACTTTTTTTCCCCAACATCCGGGATTTCAGTTTTTATAAATGTAATGTAATCTCCTAGAATTCCTTGAAAAATTACCTTTAATATTTTTACCTGTAAATCTTTAATCAATCTGGAATTTACTTCTGAATGTGCTATAAGGAAGGAGTCTAGTTCACCTGTCTCCCAGATTGACGGCTAGTTATATGAGTACCATTAGTAACTGATGAACTGAAATAACTCTGTATCAGAACGAAAATATGCAAATTATCATAACTTCCTTATGAATTGTCATGTTTCACAGACCTATTTGTCTCTTCTATGCTCAAATCATATTAATTTGATTTAAGTGGCTTTATAATATGTTCTGATGTCAGATAAGACAATTCTCTCTTACATTATATATTTTTCTTTGTTTTTTTTTCAAGCGTTTCTTTTATCAAGTGTTGGCAGGAGAAGCCTTCTGTATTCTCTCCCCACCCTTTCTACTCACACCCAAACACAGGAGTTCCAGGAGGAAGCATCCCTGCTCCAGCACACCTGACATTTTCCCAGCTTTAGAAATTGAGAGAACTCAGCCTCACTTTTATTTAATTTCTCTATTTTTAAACCTTTGTTGTTGTTGTTGCTGGGTAGATCTGTTTAATTCTGAATGAACTGAGTTAAAGTCTACCAGTATTTTAGCCAGAGTTCCTAGTTGCCAGCAGTAGACTAACTCTAATTTAAGCAGATAAAGAGTTTATTGAAAAAAAAAAGATATTGGTAAATTCACAGACTCACTAGGAGAGCTGGAGAACCAAGTTTGAAGCTTTATAGTAAGGGAACATGCCTGGAACTTCATCACAGGATTAGGATGGTCACCAATGAAGAGGGGAATTCCCCAAACATCATAGGAAGGTAAGAGGCAGATGGCCAAAAATAATAACCATAAGTGTATTTTCATCAAATCACCCTTGCATTTCCTAACTTCTGCATTACATATTTAGCTGTCCTATTATCTGCCATATTTAGATTTATTAATGTTGTATCTTTTTCATAATGGTGCCATTTTTCATTAGATAAGGTCCCTCTTTATTCTGTTTAGTGCTTTTATCATTAAACTCTACTTTGTGTGATATTGTCATTCTTGTTTTTTTTGTTTATAGTTGTTAATACTCTCCACTAAAACCTTTAAAATTTAAAACAGATCCTCTTCATCCTTCCTTTCTCAGTATCTTTGTTCATTTATTCTTTTTTAAGGTATTTTCTAAAGTAACATATTACTAGGACTTGCTTTTTAATTAAAATCTGCAAGTCTCTGCCTTTTAATGGAATTCACTCCTCTCATACTTCAATGATTTACGTATAAGACATTATTCATTCCATCTTACTTTGGTTAAAGCATGGTGGTAGATGATGAAGCAATCTCCACCTCCCCACAGAGGTACAGGACATTCAACACTTTACTAGCAGCAGTTCACCCATTTGCTTCACCATGGCCTCTTGGGGGCCAGGTAGAGGAGGTAGACTCATGAAGGGTTTATGAAAACTTCATCTTCCAAAAGCCCATGGGGCTCAACAGGGCAAACTCTGTCTAGGACTTGGTGAATTCCAATCCTCAGTCAAAACTCTCTGACTCTTGTCTTCAAGCTTGACACTCACCCATGTCAGAAAAAGCCTTGCAACTAAAGGTTTCACATGTATTTAACAGTCTGGCAGATCCAGTAACCATTTGGCTCTGAAAAGTCAGATTGGTGTTAGGAGTAGAGTTACAGGAAAGTAGCTTCAAATAATCAGCTTCATAATTTATAGGTTTCCATAATTTTATAACATAAAAGATGTATTACTACTATTCTTATTCTCATAAAGGCACTTCTACATGCTCTACAGCCAAATCTTGTAAGAATCCTTTCTTTGAACTTACTAAAATTGGGCCAAGTTCCCTCTTTATAATATAATAATAATAATCATAACAACAACAACAACAACAACATCATCAATGATAATAGCAAACACTTGTAAGAACATACTTTGTACTGGGTACTTTACATATGTTAAAGAAAAAATAATCAAAATATGAAAACAAATATATGTATGTATATGCAAGACTGGGACATTGTGCTGTACACCAGAAACTGACACATTGTAATTGACTGTATTTCAATAAAAAAATTTTTTTAAATTAAGAAAACATAATCCTCAATACTTTCAACAAACACTATGAAACAGGTTATATCATTAGCCTACGAGGTAGATATGAAGCTATTATCATATAGCCAATGAGGGAGCTTAAATCATTATATTTATTTTATACAAAGAGAAACTTACATACAATGAGGGTAAGTAACTTGCCCAAGGTTATTGATCTAGTTATTGGTGAAGCTGGAGCTTGAACTCAGTCAGTTTGGGCCCAGAGTAAGCGATCCTAATAAATATGCTAGACTGCCAAACAGAAACTTCCACTTAATACAGATTCAACTCATAGATCTATGTATCTGTCAGTATACAGCAAGAGGCTATCACTTCAAGTACAGTTGTGGGTGAGGAGACACACTAAAGCCCAGGGTGCTGAATTAAAGCTTGCATATTGAACAATATTACCCCCCAGAATCTTTCCTCAGTTTTGGAATACACTCAGGCTCGTGCACTTACATTCCCAGCCCACAGCAGAAGACTAATGGATCCCAACCTGAAGAAACTGGCCCAAGAAAGAGCACCCCCAGTTTTTGATATCTGGGGATTGCCCAAGGAAAAAGTCAGCTCACTGCCTAAACAGAATACAGTAAGTCTGTCAGACTATAAGTCCATCTATACACACCTAACTACCTATCTACTTTTTGGTGTCTTAATTTTTTTAAATTGAGATATAATTGACATGAAACATTATAGTTAACCCTCTATATCTGCAATTTCTGCATCATGGATTCAGCCAACCACAGGTTAAAAATATTTGGAAAAAAATTACAAAAAGTTCCAGAGAGAAAAACTTAAATTTGCCATGCACCAGCAACTATTTACACAGCATTTATATTGTGTCAGTAATTAATTTAGAGGTGGTTCAAAGTATATGCAAGGATGTGCAGGTTTTATGCAAATACTACACCATTTTATATAAGGGACCTGGACATCCACAGATTTTAGTATCCACAGGGTTCTGGAACCAAAACCTGGTGGATACTGAGGGACAACTGTGTATTAGTTTCAGGTGTAAAACATAATTTGATATTTGCATATATTTTGAAATAATCACCAAAGTCTAGTTAGTATCCATCACCCCATATAGTTACAATTTTTTTCTTGTGATAAGAACTTTTAAGATCTATTCTCTTAGCAACTTTCAAATATACAACGCAGTATTATTAAATATAGTCACCGGGCTATACATTACATCTCCATGACTCATTTCTTTTAAAACTGAAGTATGTACCTTTTGACCCTTTCACCAATTTTGCTCCCCCTCACCTCCCTGCCTCTGGCAACCACCAGTCTGTTCTGTATCTATGAGTTCAGTTTTTAAAAATATGGAACACTTCACGGATTTGAGTGTAGGCCATGGTAATTTTCCCTGTATGTTCCAGTTTTCAGTATATGTACTGCTGAAGTGAGCACTTTGGTGTCATACTTTTAAATATCAATGGACAGAAAGGATCACCAAAACATTTCAAGGAAGGCAGACAGGCACACATGAAAAAGGAATGTAGCAAAAGCAGAGACAATGCAGATAGCAGACGAAAACTTTAAAAATATATTTAATATACTTACTAAGAGATGATGTAACATTTATACTGATACTATAGAAAAAGAAACATTCAGAGCATAAGTGGCTTTTTAAAAATTTATGATAGCTAAAATAAAATATTCAAAAAATGGTTAATTAGAAGAAAATTTAAGGAAACTTCCAAGTTAGAAAATAAATGAAGAAATGGAAAACAGGAGAGAAAAGACATGAAAGTTAGGGAATCAATCCATTAGACACATCACTCAGCTAATAACAACTACCAAAAAAAAAAAAAACCAGAAAAAATGAAAAAATGATTAAACTGAAAATCCATGAAAAATTCACAAAGTTGAAGAACATGAATTTCTAGATTGAAATGTCCCAAATAGAAAAGGATTCTTACTAAATATGCACATTGCACAATTAGAATATTAGTTGTAGTGGGGTGTATGATCCTGAAACTCTCCAGAGGGGGGAAAAAAAAACAGGGCAAATACAAAGAACTGGAATTTTGAATGGCATAGGAAATTTTTTTTTTAACAGCTGGAACTTAGGTAATATAAGGAAAATATCTCTACACTTTAAGAAAAAATTTAAAAAAAAACATAAAAAAATAAAAACAAAAATAAAAAAATAAAAAAAATAAAAAAATTAAAAAAAAAAAAAGAAAAAAGAAAAAATTTAAAACCTAGGATTTCCAATCTAGGATTCACTGCTCAGTCAAATTATCAAACACCTTTAAAGGTAGGGTAAAGATATTTCTAAATAAGCAAAGTCTTAAAAAATGTACTTCCCATGTGTACTCAGTTATGGTATCCATTAAAATTTGAGAGTCAACAAAGAAATTAGCAACTCTGGGATGCAAAAGACACAGGATACAACATAGGAGTGGTAAGAAGGAAATTCTAGGACCACAATGAATCGAAGTTTTAGGATAAGAGCTTGCATCAGTCCTTATGAAAAGACTAATCTGAGGCAGTGGATGGAGGGTTGTCATTCTACGTAACATTAAAGACTATTTTATTCTTTGTAACACTTGCTTATAGCCCTTCTTCCTACCTTGTTCTATTTCATTAAGGCCATTGAAACTTAAAACAATTTTTACCTTTGAGAATATAGTTTATTAGTCTTTTAAGTAAACTAGTTCTCTTCCAAATGTCTGCTGACTGTGTAAAATGCTAAATCTTATAAGACATAAAAGTTCAAAGTGAAATAATTTTGAATTTTCTAGGGAGAAGTTATCCTTTGTCTGAAAGAAGGGGAAGATTTAAGGAAGAAAATAATAAACTTGGTGCTGGGTCACCTATATATTCTTACTTCAATTAATTCTAAAGAAATTGAAGCTAAGTGAGGCTGGGTAACTTTCCCAATATACAAAAACATAATCTACTAGAACCAGAAATTGTTTGCCTCTAAATCTCAAATCTTTCTACTCCAACAATTTATATTCCTGTCCCCAGACATCCTCACCTTTAAAATACCATCAAATTAATCTTCATAAAGATTAATTTCATCATGTAGTCCCAGCTAAAGAATCTGTAATATACTGCATGAAATTCAAATTCAACTTTATCTTACTCACAAGGCCCTCTATACTTCATCCATTCATATTCATTAATTTCCAATGCATGGCCTCCTATTCCACATATAATCAGGACCATATTTCAATATCTTCAATTAAAAAATTCATACAGTCTATTTTGCTTAGAAGTAGGGATAGCAAACAAAAAGTTGGACAGTGGTTCAAATGAAAATCACTTTTCACCAGTCACCTAAATAAAGATTTCTTGCTCTTATTTGCATGTTCTTATTTTGAAAGAAAACACTAAGTTAAAAAAGCACCAAATTTAAAAAGTTTAAAGCAATTCTCTTCATTTCACTCTGGTCTTATTTAGCAGGGCATATACAGCAGCCTTTCTCAGAGAGGACTGTCATTCCCCGGATATAATTCCCAGTAACCATGAGTTATCTTTAAAGGCGGGAGGGGAGGCCTTTCTTTGGAAGATGGAAAGAAATGATTTATGCTTCTTAGATGTTTGTGGCATTTAAAAGGATCACAAATAATAATTTTAGAAATAAAAAATAATTATCAATAATTCAGTATCTGCTGAGGCCAAAATGTCTTTGTTTTTATGGAAAAAAGATGACCATTAAAAACACAGCTTTTCAATCTGGTAGTTCATTAAATAGGATATATTCACACCTAAAACATTGGTTGAACATTGTTTAGAAATACATATCAACTACACTAATAACTCTGCTTTCTCTTATATAAAAATACAAGATATTTTTAAACTTTAAAATGTAACTTTTTAATCATAATATAAACATTGTTATTATAATAGCTTCAAAAGACAGCCAATGTAAAAATTTCCTTGCCAGAGGTAACTAGCTGAACACTAGACTTTAAAAAATATCCTGAGATTTTCTTACAATGCAGTGATCTCTTTTTAGGAAGCTGTTTAGTTAGGTTATAACTTTAGACTAAAAGCAAAACAAAATAAAACAATTAAAAAAAAATCCCCATACCTTCAACACTAAAAAGACAACTTAAAGCACTAATGAATGAACAACTTCGATTCCTTATGAAATCCTATCCAGATTGAAGGAAGTGAAATTCACTCATTCCAATTTCACTGTTTCAAGTGTCTAGCATTTACTTTCACAGCATAGAATGCTACTGAAATAACAGAAGTGACAACCACAAACTTTTTCTCTAAGTTTAACAAAAAGAAGTTGAAGAAAGCAGTCAAATAATCACTCAACTGCTGAAAACTTTTGAAAATGAAAAACAAAACCCAGAGAATTCTAGCACTTAAAAAAATACAACTCCTTTCACCAGAGTCTAAGTTAGAGGTTAAAATCAATTAGTTCTGAATTCAGTGAACAAAGAAATGACTTTCATTAACATTTTGGATAAGAGGAAACAGAAGTTCAAAGCTACTAATTTGCTCCTGAATAAAAAATATCAGCCATGAGTACGTGACTAGAACTGAGATCTCAATTTTTGAGGTGCTCAGGATCAGTAGACTCTTTCTGAGTGTAACAGACTTCAGTAAAAAGAGTACATTTTTCGACTATAAACCATAATGTGATCTTATGGGCTGTAGTCACTGTATCTTTAATAGATTACAATAACAATTTTCAAGTTTCTTAAGGGAACATCCAACAAGAACTAGAAAATGACAACAAAAGATTCCAGAGTGAACATCTGCATTAAGACAGCAATTAAAGACAAAGCTACAGAATGTTATTTAAAAAGTAGCCCACACCTTCAAAGATGGCTGAAAATTATTGTTCTGTAAGGCTCCAAGAAACACATCTATAATGATTGCTCAAGTATTCTTTCTCTTGGGTATCCACTCAGTAAGAAATTATTTTTCTATGTAATTTTTACCCAACTTCACTATTATTTTCCCCCTGCTTTAAGATAAAAAGAGTATTTTTGGTTTTGGGACTAAATTTGATTATTACTGTTTTGGAAAAAAGATAAAGACAAAAATGATTCTTGAATATATGTTTAAAATACACCAATCTTTTGAATATGATTTTTAAAAATGTCCAGCAACCCAGATTTTAAACTGATACTTACAGTTCACTCAGCACTTATAAAATATATATTCTAGAAAATACCATAAACTGAAATTCTAATGTGGAATCACTTTCAAAGCATATAGACAAAGCCAGATGTATTTACCAATTTACCTTGTTTCTAATTGTTTCATACTAGATTGCAACTGCTGTAAGCGCCTATCTGATGCTTCCTCTCTTCCTTGGGCAGACACAATATCCTCCTCCTAGAAAACAAAGAAACTGTATGCTTATCTTGAGTATGTGAAAATTCAAAGCACCGTTAAATAGCATAAAGAAAACAGTTCATTGTATAAAGTTACTGTATTTCTAGAATTTCATATGTAAGTTTAAAGAAGCACTATCACTTTGGGAGTAAATCATGCATATACTAAAAAAGGGAGATGAGAACCTCACTATCAATTCTGTATTAGAAAAACAATAACCAAAACAGTCGCTACATACAGATTTCTACCAATATTTCAAATTATTTTTATGGCCCAAGTCTAACAAAACAAGGCAGGAATTTATATGCAGACTGTCTGCCCTTAGCATGTGTTCTTTTAACTAGGTTACACTGCATCCCATTATAATCGTGGATTATTTCTTCTTTGAACAGTGTTGCTTCAAAATAAATTAACAGGTTCTATTTGCACCATCTTTTAAAAATTTCCTGTTCATCCTTTCTGGCCTTTTTTGGTGGTCTTCTATTGGTTTTTAGTCATACCTCTTTGAATTATTTTTTAGTGGTTGCTCTAGTTTTTGCATCTCTAACTTATCCCAATTTATTTAGTTAATAGTTAATTAATTCAGAGAAAACACTGGAACCTTGCAACAGTGTATTTATTTCCATGTATCATCCTAGTCTTTAGTGTCATTGTTGTCATATATTATACCTACATACTTTATAAGCCCATCAAATACAGTGTTAAGTTCTGCTTTTAGCAGTCAAGTCTTTTAAGGTACTAATAAGAGAAAAGAAAAGTATGTATATATATCTTTCATATTTATAATTCCTGTTGCTCTTAATTTCTTCTTACATCTGAGTTGCCAACTGATGTTATTTCCTTTCAGTCTAAAGAATTTTTTGAAGAACAGCTACACTAAGTGACACATTTTCTCAGTTTTTGTTTACCTGAAAATGCCTTTATTTTGCCCTCATTTTTGAAGCACAGTTTCACTGGACACAGAATTCTTAATGAGCATTATTTTTCCCTTCAGCAGTTCAGATATATTACTCCAGTGTTTTCTGCTTCCACAAGTTCTTGAGAAGTCAGCCATTATTCTTATCTCTATTCCCCTGTTCACACCATTTTTCTACTGCTGCTTTTAAGTTTTCTCTTTTTAATTGGCTGTCGGTGTTGTCATGATGTGTTGAAAGTGATTTTCTTTGTATTCATCTCGCTAAGGGTTCAATGAGATCCTTGGCTCTGTTAATGTTTTCCACTAAATTTTGAAAGATTTCAGCTATTATTTCTTTAAACATGTTTTCTGCACTGCTCCCACTCCCCTACCACACTTGCATTGGCTTGCTTCATATTGTCCCACAGATCACTGAGGTTCTGTTCATTTTTCTTCCATCTTTTAAACTCTATTCTTTGAATAGGAACGTTTCTATTGATCAGTCTTCAAGTTCAGTGATTATTTTGCTTTTTCCAATTAACTTTTGAAGCCATCTAATGACATTTTTATTTGGGTTGTTGTACTTTCAAACTCTAGAATTTCTATCTTTAAAATTATTTTCTAGTTCTCAATTAAAAATTCTCTATCTGTTCCTTCACTGAAACATATTTTACTGTAATTTAAAAATAGATTTTCTTTAATTCCTTGAACATAATAGCTTATTTAAAGTCTCTGCCTGTTAAATCCAACAGCTAAATTCAAACTCACTGAAAGTGAGTTTCTATTGACTTTCCTCTTTCACCCTCCTCCAGCAGTCACGCTTCAGTGTCTAGTAAGTTTTGGTTGAAAATTGGAAAACAAAGATAATGTATCATTCTTTCTCTGGATTCTGTTTTGCTCTTTTGAAGATTATTAGCTTTTTTGCTCAGTTAGGCAATTATCTTGCCTAGACTCAAACTCTGAAGTGTCTTCCCCACAGTATGTAGCAGCTGCCATCTGTGATGAGTCTAATTTCTTTCCACTGTTAAATTATTTTGCTAGGCTCCCAGGAAACTCACTGTGTCTGTGTAATGTGAGGATCAGTCAAGATCTGGGTAGAGGTAGGGCTATCCTCTTTGTTGTTTGTTGCTCTTAGAGATCCCCTTGTAATTTCCAGCTGCTCTGCCAGCTTTAGGTTCTGTCCATAGATATTCAAACATTCATGCTTCAGCTTTCCTGCTCAAGCTGCACACATTTTGGGAATGCACTCAATTATAAAAAGCAGCAAACCTAAACATCTAGTTCCATATGGCTGTATCTTTCAAGAGCAGATTTCTCTCAGGTCTCTGCCTACTTTTTCACTGGGTTCCTGGGGACCCTATCCTAGCCCTGGACACATAGTCTGACTGTCAGTTACGAACCTGGTCAGTTTATACTGAGAACTT